ATTAGGATCCCCATTAGCTTCCAAATAAATGGCCACTAGTCTTCCTGGGGTCTTCACATGAAAAAAATTACATTACATTATGAACAAATCATAAAAAGTAAAAAAGAATTAAAAATCACAGTAGGAAAATAATATCTAATCTTTCTTCCACCAAAACCCGGGGTTACATTGATAGTAGTAATGGGATTGCTCCAGTACAAATAACTGAGTCAAGATTTGTAAAGTTTAGTTCAGTTAGCCACTACCAGCTTAGCTTAGCTGTGAGAAGTTTATTTAGCATGCCGTATGTCGAATGAAACCATGTGGAAATACGACAAAGACCTGCTAAAGGCGAGAGCTTCTCCTGTTGGTCACACCAAAATGTAGTGGCTTTTGCTAGCGGTGATTATGATTACAAACTGGCTTGAATTCTCCCAACAAGACTGTCGAAGGCTGATTTCCTGCTGTGTGACAGTCTTCCCATGGCTGTTCTGTCTAATTACTTGGATGTGAAAGAAAACTTACGTTAAGCCTTTAGACAGAGACATTTTCTGCATTGTTTCGAAGCCAACGTTGCTGTAGCCTTGTTGGCTATGTATGCTGCTTACATAGGTCAATTGTTATAGAGGCCCATGCTGTAAGTTGCCAGCTATTACACACATTAGGGACCGTTACTGTTAAGTTGCATTTGTCAGCTAATGCAACATGTTTTCCAGGTACTCAGAAAGTACATCCAGGCAGCCGTATTGGGACTACTAGAATACCTGACGGCATAGCATGCCGTTGTCGATTTCTCCCATATCCAGCTATGGAGCATGGATATTACATCCCTTGTGGATTTTGTCTCAGTGTGTTGCAGTGTGTCTACCTCTGCCACTTTAACATTGTCTCCGTTTAGCGAGATGTTGGTGCCATTGGTTGTTGTCCCTTTCCCCTTGTTACCTTGAGGCAAGCCTTCCGAATAAGAGAGAATGCATGGCTGCCTATACTTTCACCTGAGTTAAAAATGTAAAGACCACAGCCTGGCTTCTGAATCCTACCAAACCCCTTTGCCAGCATGCCTACCGGACCTCCCCAGAGAAAAGGGAAGAAATAGACCGTCAGGTGGTGGTCCTGCTCGCTGATGGAGTAATTGAGGCCTCACCTGTTTTCTTGGTCCAGAAAAAGAATAGTAAATGGATATTATTTACTATAAATGTTTGAACGGTATTACTGTTAAGGACTGTCATACTCTGCCCCAGATGGCCGACAATTTAGACACATTATCTGGGGTGTCGTTGTTTAGTACACTCAACTAATGGCTACTGGGAGGTTGAAATGGCTGAAAAGGGCAGACAGAAAGCGGCCTTTCCCACAGGTAGGGTATTTTACCAGTGGTGGTCAATCCCCATAAGCCTGACCAACGCACACACAACATTTCAGAGCAAGATGGAGCTATCACTGCATGGGCTCCCACGGCAGGTGTGCATGTGCTTCCTTCTGCCCTGGTGGTCACCATGCCTGACTATGTGGGGTTATTTAAAATGTATATACAGGTGCCTGTATATGCTAGGGCATTCATAGCTCAGGATAAATATGAGCTTGAGAGAGTAGTGGTTTATGCCAGCCAGTGTCCCGCTAATGTCCAAAAACACTGATCTACATTTGATAAGGCACTGTGGGCTATGGTGTGGGCGGTACGTCAGTTCAGACATAACATTGGGGCATCCACAATCACTATTATAACTGACTATAAGCCTCTTCTGTGGTTGCGGGGCATGACAAGGATACATCTTTGAAGAGAGCCAGGTGGATGTTGGAACTGGACCCGTATAACTAGGATATACAGCATTAGGACGGGCATCATCACTCCAACGTAGATGCTCTCTCAATGAGCTATAATGGGTGCTGTAACCATGCTTAATGTAAATGAAACTCCCCATGTCCTCCTGAGTAACGTCACTCAGGAAGAAGTCCCTCAGCCCACTGTTCCTATTCATAGTGATCAGGGCAGGCAGTTTGAGGCTGACATTGTACAAATGTTATGTTAGCTGCTTAACATTAACTCATTGGCTGCCAAAGACGTCTATAGACGTCAATTAAAATACAACTGTTGACTGCCATAGACGTCTATAGACGTCTTTTATGTTTTTCAACAAGAGTGGCTGGGGGACGATCTGCTAAAGCTTGTCCGTAAATATCGGCTTCTAGACAGAGTATGTACTAACAAATTGGCCCTCTAGGTGGCAGTGCCACTTTTGATGGGAGATGAGCTTAGATTGTAGGCAAATAAGAAAAAGGTAACGGTTCGCTATGAGAGAACATGTCGCCGGTGAGACGCAAGTCGAGGAAGAAAGGAATAAGGTAGAAACAAAAGATTTTTCCTGATGAAAGAAGAGAGTCTACTCTTTCTTTTGGTGTGTTCGGTGTTTACATAGTCATAGCACAAACTATTCTGTGGCTCTTGAAAAATCAGTCGAAATGCTCAAAAAACTCTGGCAGTATTGGACTCTCTGTTCTGAAAATGGCTGGCAGTCAATGAGTTAAGAAAACACATACTGCTCCATGTAATCCCAAATCCGACGGTATGGTTGAGCGTTTCAATTGCACGCTCATTGTTCAAGTTGCTAAGTTGCTCTTGACCTGCAGCGATGAATGGGACTACGACTTAACGCTAGAGGGCCAAAACTGCAGACTGTGAATAAGTCTAACATACCTCTAACTACCTGTTTCCGATTTTTGAGCTGTGTCCCTGCCAGCACCCCACATCCACACACAGGATATTATGCAGGCCAGCAACACTGATGAGCCTTTGTGTAAGGATCACTGGCCATAAAAGGCATATATCAAACGCACATGCCCAATATATATGCCATCTTTCCACTGTAACATTTGTTACATTTGAGTCTTCATGGCGTTCCTCATGATCCGTTTTTGATGAAATGCCAAGATCCACATTGGTGCCATGTGATCATATTGGCCAATAGATTTAGCAACTAATATATCACCACCATAATGCCATGTAACCACTTTTTTTTTTTAAATAAAGCTGTACTTTACGTTGATAACAAGGACATCCTCAATGAGCGCATACAAATTCATAAAAATTAACAAGATATTTGGATCAAAATTCTAATTCTAGTCCTCTGTCCTCTGACATTGTGAGCTTTGTGGGGTAAACTGTTATTCAAGTTGGGGTATAACTTATAACAAAATTACCATTCTTAAAGGATTAAGTATGCCCCATCATAAAATAACAAGCCATCTTTAAAATAAGTGTTTTATGACTAATGGAAATCGCTTCTGAGATCAACCGACATGACTACATAAGGTGATTGTGTACATCTGTTTTTTGGCTAGATAAAATAAAGAATGGTTACTCTTAGAACATGAAATAAGATATGACCTCAGATAAATTGACTGCAAAATTATTGATGTTGCAGGGGCAGCTTGTAAAGAATAGAAACACACACAGTTTTTTGGGCTGACTAGAGCTCATTCAAACGGTGGTATGGCCTTTGTCAGGCGCCAAACCTCAGTGGGGGGTGGAGTGGCTGTCCACAATACAATGGAGACAGTTAGCACCTTGAGAGGAGCACACAACTTTTGTAGAGGGGACGGGGCATGCAGCATAAGTGAACATTTCTTGGCCTGCTAGTGTTCAAACAAGCACCTTTTGCTTACAACAGGTCTGTTCAAGCCTGTACAAGTTATGCCCCCTACTCTCTCACACATGATTATGAAGCCTGGTTGCTGTTTAATTTACTGCAGCCAAATCACACTAATCTTAACGTTAATTTCTCTGTTTTCTTGGACCGTCTGGACTCTAATGCTTGTCATGTGCCTTACTATGAGGGGAATTTAGTGCATCTTCATAACCTCAGGGAAGATTGCATGAAACTGGCTTTGCATTCGAGGGGCCCCTTTTGAGATCTTGGGTTCTGACATTATCCCAGGGAACACAATTGTATCAGGGACCCCCTTGTGGATGATGGACTGGAGCAGGTTGTTCACTTTGAAAAGTCATATACATTAGGTCTACTCCCCTCAACAGCCCATTGGTGCCCTCTTAGATTTGGCCTACGATGATTTGCCCACTGCAAGCGCTCATGAGGGGTCGGGTGTTGGGTCTTACACTATTGGCTTTCCCCCAGCAAAATCTAGGGCAGGCAAGCTGGTAAAACCCCCAGCCCACTGGAGATTTTATAACGCACCATTGAGCGTTCAGTTATGTTTTGGTGAGCGTTTACCCCCCTCACATCTGGGGTAAACTGTTTCTGTAACTGAGGCCATGTTTACATTTTGGCATAACTGTTAACTTTCGTTATCACTTTCTTATCACGCACTCCTCTGCGTGTTTTTTCAAACGAGAACGTTTTTTATTATTGTTAATATTAAGGGAGGAGGTACGTAAGTAACTTTCCTGTGCCGATAATAACTGAAAGCCCTTTTATTGTGAAAAAAATGAAAGTGTTGAAGAGTCTCGTATTGAGTTTGATGGCTGACCGTGGTACGGAGACGACATGGAGAATTAAAAAAAAATAAAAGGATACATCTCTCCATACGTTGTCTTCCATTTACAAAAAAACCCCTCGGCTTCAGAATTTAGTAGTAAACATCCGGAAAAGTAAGTGGAATTTGTCTTGACGTCGTTTCTGACAGACATGGACTTTACCAGACATGAAATTTCTTAGTGCTCCTGAAGGTATCACACTCAGACTCAGACTAACGCTCCTGATTGGTCGCAGCCTCGCTCTCTCTGTTGTGGGCGGGGCTATGGCTCTCCCCGTTGCTGCTCTGTTCTGTTCCAGTGGAGAGTAGACAGCTGCACTCAGCAGCGGAGTACCGGGGAGAAGAACCGTAATGCTTGAACCAGTGGACAAACCGAATACTCTTCTAATTCATTCCCCTATGCTGAGTCGATAGGAATATGGCGTGAGACGAGGCGTGTGAATAGAGGGCGCAAAACTGTCGGGAGTTAATCTCAACGGCGGACTTTGTTGCCGCTGCCTGGAAGTTTTCTGTTGTCTTTGGGTCGGGGATTGGGGGGGAGGGGGGGGCCCGACGGTGTCTCTGTCTGCGGCGGCGGCTGCTCAGTCCTCGGAGCGGTGTCCCGGTTCGGCCCAGCCCCCATGCAAAACTTAACGGCCCCGGGCGGCCCCAGCAACTCTAATGTCACCTGCTCCTGCAACTGTTCCGCTTCCCCGCCACAGGGAATGGAGATATGTAAGTAACATTAGCCGCTTGTTTGAAAGTGTCATGACCTTAAATGTCTACCGAGACACTCCAGTGCTGAATTCGTTTTACGTTTAGTCTCCTGTATGGTAGTCTGGTAGTCCCACAAGAACTTCCAAACAGGCTTAATAGTTATCCATAACCGCAAAAAGACTCTACTGTAAACTTAAAAACGGGCTGCTAGCAAGAAAAACCCTTACAGTAAACTTCAAAGAGGGAGTTGCACGTGCCGATATCTGTTAATTACGTCTAGGCTTTCCTATGTCGTCACTTTTTTGTTTGATTTGTATATAAAAAGTCCATGTTTTTTTCTATTATCTGCCTCGTATTTCAAGTTAAGGCATTACAATTTCATTGATTTGCTGTAGAACTAAAAAAAAAGAGCTTCCATTAAACATTTTAATGAAATTACCAATATAAACGAGTACGTTTAAAAGATAGTTTTAATTTCTTGTTTGACGTTATTGCATGTATAACATATAAACCTCCTTTTGCACTGCATATTCTCTCAGACGTCACCACAGAGGGTTAAATAGTTTCCCTGTCAGCACAGACAGGAAACGCTGGAATGGTATGTTATGTCTGTCTGGCTTCTGAGCTGCCAAAGAGAAACTATCATTATCAGCTCTACCCTAATGCTGCTGCTTGCTTGATCCGCTGCAGATGTTCCTCTTTATGGGTGAGGCAGACACTAGGCAAAGCAAAGTAAGGTGCAATAAAACAGAGCGTACGTCTACATTCTGAGATTGCCACACAGACAAAGACAAATAGTACGCGAAGACAGGTGGGCAAATTCATAAACCAGACACCCAGACAAGTACCGACACAAGATATTATGGGGGAAACGGACTGAAAACCTCTGACGTACACGGTGACAAGCTACAGATGTACAGTGAGATGAATGGACAGAATTACAGCGATGTGTAATTTCCATTGGGACAGAGGCCAGAGCGAGGCAACATGAGGTGAACGCAGGATATTAGATTTAGATCTGGCATCGGTGTGGTTGTGCTGACACCACAGTGTAACCAAGAAGTGTGTGTGTGTGTGTGTGTGTGTGTGAGAGAGAGAGAGAGCCTGTCTGGCAGATGAACTGGTGTTTCACTTCTCTGTGGCACCGTGGCTTTGCCTGCCAGAAAAAATATACATCGTCAGCTGTGAATTCTTCGACGCATAAATGTAGCAATACACGAGGAAAGATGAGGAAAGCCAGGGGATTGTGCTGTCTGACACTTTTTAGTATTAAATAGCAAAGTGTATGCGGAGAATTTGGGGTTACACACGTGTCTTTGTACTTTGAATAAGTACCAGACTGTTATTTTCACTGCGTTACTTGCCATTTGAATGTCTTACTAGTTGGAGGAAGCTCCATTCACAAGTGATTTTGAAATAGCGCTGCCCTACTGTAGAGGCCGTCTGGTTTGAAAAGAGCCCTTGTTTGTCGGCTGTGTTGTCATGCAGACTCGGCAAGGCTGAATAATGCAGCTCATGCTTTGATGATTTATCTGGCTGAAGAAAACAGCTCCAGTCTGCCTCCTCTCTTTTTTTTTCTTCTCCTCCTTCTTTAGAGCAGAGCAGGCTGTCTTGCTGGTGTGTTTACCTTCTAATTTTTTCTTATTTTTTTTTATTCAAAAAAGGAGGAAAACTGAAAGAGATTTCAAAACACTGAAGGGTCACAGTGCCATCATTGTGTCATGGCCAGGACCCAAACCTCAACATGCACTCGGTTTTAAAAGTAATTATTTTTAGTACTACAGCCTTCATAGCTGTGCGTGGTTTATTTGCATAGTGCAGTTATCTCTTATTGTAGGTGTGGTGCTATAAAGTCCTGAGGGCAACCAGCATGCATTCTCTAGCTTTAACCTATACGTGGTCATGTGACCCTGAGAAACACTAGCACTGACAGAAATAACTGTTAGAGATGTTAACAGTTTCACGGTCACAGTCTTTTGTGAGATAGGCCCTCCCCCTGACCCTACAAGCATGTGTTCTGCAAACATTTTCCATGATGAAGTAATTTAATCTTCCATAGATTCTTACCGCAATCAGTTTTATCTTTCTAAAGCCCTGAGGGGAAACGCTCTCTACCAATTTTGTCATTTCGCTTGAATTCAACGCTATTTTCCTTTCATTTCATCCAAGGATTGCCCTCTTGATTGCAATGCAGTAGTTTGGGTTGCCTTTTTCACATATATCTTTTAAGCTGGGATTTATTTTTTGTCTATGTTGCACTTTCTGTTATACGTGAAAGTGTAGAGGCAGCATGAGTTTATTTTTTTTTGTGGATTTGAGGGGTTGAAGCTTCAAAGGCAAGAAAGGTCATAACAGAGGAAAAACTAGCTATGTGTTTTCAGGCAAGCCAGCCCTGCTGAACATGTCAGGTTATGCCGTTATGCTTATTTTCACTGATAGGCCACATTTGTAACTAGATTATAGAAGACACAACAAACAAACACAACGGCCACGGATTGGTTGTATAAAGAGGAACATTTCTATTGCTTGTCTGTGGAGCCTACTGTAGATTACAATGGGCCTCTATGTCATAATCACAATGGTCAAAAATCAAGAATGACATATTACATGAGATAAAAACTCAAGTTGTCATGCTTTACACTAGTTTCCAAGTGGAGACATGAGTGACCTCGTCTTAGTTTCTTGATTTGTAACATTTAATCTACAGCAAAGGCATGTCCCACAGAGGAAAGCGGCCTGATGTGAAGTCATGTGATTGGTGTTAGAATGTGGGTGGCACCACGGTCAGCTGTCAGGTACCTCAGGCCAGACAAACGGCTACTTGTTGACTTTTCAGTCACCAAGTAGCCGTGCAGAAATACGCACAGGTAAGACACGTGCATTTAGAACCAGATATTGTATTGTATTTGCACTCACAAAGAAATTAACTTGACCATAATTTCAAAGCTTAGTTAGTATTTACGGGGACTTGCAAAAGTGTACATACCCTTCTAACTTATCCATTTTTCGTCGCATCACAATCACAAACAGAAACGCTTTTCATTTTAATTTTAATGCGAAAGATCAAGTCAAAAGAACAATCATGAAGTAGAAAGAGAATTACACGTGATTCAAAACTGAAAAGTGCGGTGTGCAAAAGTATTCAGCCTCCTTTTCTCCGAGTGCAACCAATTGCCTCCAGAAGTTGCCTGATGATTGCTTATGACTAGATGGAGTGCCATCAAACTTCAGTACAAATGCAGACGGACTCGGAGGTTGGTAAACAGAATATCGGGGAGCAAGCAGCATCATCATGAAGTCCAAGGAACACACAAGGGATAACGTTGTGTAGGAGTTTAAAGCGGGGGTTAGGCCCAGGCTTTGAACACCTCATGGAGCACTGTTGAATTTCATCGTCCAGAAATGGAAAGAGTGTAAAGCTACTGAACCTACCAAGACAAAGCCGTCCTCCTGAACTTACAGGCTGAAGAAGGACAGCACTGATCAGAGTTTCAGCCAAGAGGCCCATGCTGATTCAAATAGATGAATGGACAAATATTTCATTCACTGGATGTGCAAAGCTGGAAGAGACATACTCTAAAAAACTGTGTTTTTTTTTAAATATGTGGTTCCACAAAGTATTGACTCAGGGGAGCTGAATACTTTTTAACACTGCACTTTTCAATTTTTTTTTTGTATAAAAAAAGGATTTAATCATGTGTAATCTTCCGTCTACTTCATAATTGTATACAACTTTGAGTTGGTCTTTCACATAGAATTCCAATGAAATGTATTCATGTAAGTGGTTACAGAATAAGCAAAACTTCAAGATATATGAATAGAGCAAGCCACTATACGCTGTATTGTTTTCTTTTTCACATCTTTTGGTTTTATTTGCTATAGAGATATTCTTGATTTGAAATAACTTTTTTTAGCTTAAGAAGAAAATCTGGGACCTTGGGGAGGGGAGTGGCAAAGGCAACCACGTAGCAGAGATGTTAATGCTCTCACTTATCCTGTAATTAGTTTTTCTGGAAATGATCCCACTGGACTAATGCAGTCTGCCACCTCTCCTGAGCTGAATTCTCAGCTTTCCACACATTAAGAAAGAGTTCATGTAGTGTGTAAAAAGACGATGGCGAGGGGCCATCAAATCCAGAGAGTTGACTGGCCATTACACTACACAGGTGGTATGAGTAACTTGAACTCATATTCTGCATTCTCTTAATCGGTATGTTCAAAGGTGTTCAGAGCATTTGTTAAAATGTTTCATCATCAGTTTTAAAAAAAATCTGCTTTTCTTGTTGTCTATTAACCCTATAATGCCAAATGTATCATATTTGATACATGCTGTTTCTGAAGTCTTTTGGATCTGAGACCTTTTGCATCATTCAGTGGTAAAAGCTTACTCCTAAAAGACTACACCTAAATATATTTTCGACTTATTGCACGCTAATTTGATCAAAAATTATTGCCGTTTTTTTTTCTTCATTTGTGGTTGAGGGGCCAAAGAAAGACTTCAGATTAAAAATGTCCAATATTCTTCCTATTTTTCTTGGATCGGGCTTTAAAGGGGTTAAGTTATGTTTTAAGTATTGATATATTGAGGTATTATAATATTATGATGTGTAGTTTTTATATACATTCATAACTTTTAGTTTGGCAAGCAACCGATGAAGTTCTTTCTCACTTTTATAAACAATTTTCTTTTTCATAGCAGAATACATAGGCTTGCTCTAGTGTGTTGTGGAAGCTGACAACAAATTTGGAATGAAGTTATTTTTTTAGGATAACCAGCCAATTGATAATAGTTGATAACTACTTATTAATCACTCTGTAAAATTCTAATAGAATGTCTGTGAAGGGAGGATAAACAACTGCAGTATTCAGCTAGTTTCAAAATCACAACTATGTTTGGTAAAACAGTACAAAAAGTAGATTCTGTCACAATTGTACTGTAGTTATTCAGTTTTTGACAACTTCTCATTCTTAAAATGCG